CTGGCCCTTGTGTAGCCCTGGAGTTGGAAGGTGGTGGTGGCGGGAGTGGAGTGAGAGGTCGGGAAGGAGCTCGAAGCTAGCAGAGAGGTCAAGCCCTGCTTTTCCCCAAAGACTCCCTGACCTTCCCATTCCCCACCCCACCATTATCCCAAGGCCCTCTACAAGTTATCTAGAGAGGCCCCCAGTCACCCTGCAATTATATAAATAAATAAATACTGAGCCCCTGGGCTTGGGGGACAGGCTGAGGGAGGGGCAGCAGGGATAGAGGAAAGAGGAGAGGAAGGGAAGGGAGGCAAAGGGAGGGGTCACAGACATAGTAAATATTTGTCTCCGTCCCAGCAACACATCTCTCTGGATTTTTCTCTCCTTTTTTTTTTTTTCTTTTTTGTTTGTTTGTTTAACAAGGAGCTAACATCTCAAGGACAAATACTTAAAAATATACATTATATTTTCTTTTTTTTTTTTTGCCGTCATCGTCTTCTTGCTTTGGAGACTGCTGAGGTCAAAGTTCAAACCGCGCGAAGGAACTGCGGCTTGGAGTTTTTGTGTATTTTTTTTAATTTTTATTTTAAAATTTTTTTCACTTTTTTTTCCAACATATAAAAAGGTAGCGGAGTTGTCTGTGGGTTTTTTTTTTTTTTTTAATGGTTAAATCTTTGGTTTGTTTCTTTTTTCTCTTGGAGGCCTTTATCTCTCGCACTTGCCTTTCCCACTCAGAGACCAGTGGGGGCCCGCGTGTCTCAATCTTGCTCAGTCTGTCTCACTCTCTCTCACTCAGTTACCCCTACCCTGGGCCAGAGGAAGAGAGAGGCATCCTGGGATTGGGGTGGGTGAGAAAAACTAGTCAGGTCAAGAGGGCACCCCACACACACACGTCCTTGGCTAGTCTCTTACCTTGTCTTCCCAGAATGCAGGGCTTGGAGACCCTCCTGGCCTTCCCAGGAGGAACCGTGTGGGAAACTCCTATCTTCCTCCTGCTCTCAGTTTTTTTTTTTTTTTTTTTTTTGGCACAATTAAAAGGCCCACCATTTGGGTAGACCCAGTCTCTGTCCCTCCCTTAAGTAGGAGGTCAGGGTTGGGGAGAAGAGAAATTCTTTGCTCCAATCCACTCATCCCTCTTTCTAGCCCAGGCCCCTGGTCCTCCATCTCAGGCATCTAACCTAGCCCAGAGCCTGACCTGGGGTCTCCCTCCCCATCCCCCACATGAAGCTCCCCAGCCCTCCAACTCTCGCTCACACACAGACACACGGACACAGGCTCTGTACAGACCACAAAATAAAAATGATGAGATAGTTTTGTTTCCCGGAGTCGAGACAGGGGACCAGAGTGGCAGGGGTGGACAGGGATGGGGAGCATAGATTCTCCCTCACCTTTCCAACCCTGGCTCCCTCAGTCCCCCAGCCCCTTGCCCTGGCTGGCCCCCAGCCAACGATATTTGGTTTCCTTTTTTAACATTAAAGTTCTATGAGGTATTTGGTGCCTTATCTCGAGTCCTCGGGGAGAGGGGGCCCAGGGGGGAGACCTGGGGCTCACCTGCCCCTCCCTCCCTCCTACCCCCTTCCCAATATTTGGTTTCACAGCTGTAGTTAAAGCTTGGGATTTGGTTATTTTTTCCCCCTCCCAGGAATTTTTTTTTTCTTTTCTTTTCCCAGTTGTGGGGGTTAGATGGGGAGGGTCCCCACCACCCCCGGCTGCACGGGGGTCCCTCCACCAGTCAGGGCATCTGCCCCCTCCCTGCCCTGCTTCCTCCTGTCCTCTTTGCCCCACTCCCCCCACTCTAGGGTGGGAAGAGGTCCCAGGTGGTGGGACTCGATAGGGAGGAAGCAAGATGAAGTGGGTGGGGGTTAGTCCTGGATTTTCTTTCCTTTTTTTTTTTTTTTTTCTTTTTTTCAACTTTTTGGTCTAGAATCAGAGTCTTTGAGTCATTTCCACCATGCCTTCCATGCTGCCTGTCTTCTCGGAGGGGGTTTGGTTGTAATTCCTTTCATTTTGCTCTGCTCAGATGTCCTTCCTATCGTCAGGAGCCCTCAGCCCTCTCCACCCTCGGGCTGGGGCTCAGGCCCTCTTGCCAGTCCCTTCTCTCTTCAGGAACTAAAAATGGACAAACTCAGAAGTAGGGGCAGGACAGGGAGTCGGTTCAGCCGCGATGAAAAAAAAAGGCGAGGATGGGTTGATGAGGTGCCAGGCCCCATCAGTGCCAGGGGTGGAGGGGTGGCCACTCCACTTCTGCCCAGACAAGGCACCCGGAGGCCCCTGCCAAGTCTCTGCTAGGGCCCCGGGGGCCCCGTGCCAAGTCTCTGCTGCCTCTGTGGCCCAGCCCAACAGTTCCAATTCCCGGGTGGGAGAAGGGACACAAGAAAAAAAGAGAACGGAGGCCCAGCACTCCGTCTGCCTCTCCTCGGAGTGTCCGGCAGAAAGCGTGGAGACCGCAGGGCTGGGCTCTCCCCTCCCTCTGCTCCTGCCCAGCAAGGATGGGGGTCACTCTGCAGCTGCCAGGCTCCACTTGGATTTCAATGGCTCGCGTCCTTCACAGCAACACTTTGGTTTGAGGAGAGACACAGAAGGAATGAGATTGAGTGAGGCGAGAGAAGAGTGAAGAAAGAGGGAGGAGAGAGGAGAGGAGAGGAGAGGAAAGAGAAAAGAGGGAGACAGAGAAGAGAGGACAGACGGAACAGAAAAAGAAATCAAAGGAGGAATCAAACCACCCTAAAGTTGTTGGTTTTCCTTTGTCCATTCTTTGTTTTGCTTTCTTACTCTTTCTTTTTTTTTTTTTCCTTTTTTTTTTTTTTTTTTTAAAGCTTTTTCAGTTGATTGGGGGGGCGGGGAGTTTGAGGCTCTTGGCCCCTGTCCCTGACACCCACTCTCAGCCCCGCCCACCCGCTCCATCCGCCCTGGCTGAGGGACAGGCCCTGCCCCAGCCGCCTCCCTCCGGCTTTCCCGAAGACGACGTCCATGAGGTATTTGTGAAGAGAAAGAAGCATCCGTCCTTCCATCCGCCTTGGGGACCAAGGGCCTGGACCACTGGTGCAGGCTAGGCTCCGCCACGCGGCTCCTTCGTTTTCTTGAAGAGTTCTCATCTTCTTTCCCTTATACATATATATATATATATATCTATAAATTTTTTTTTCTAGTTTTAATTTATTGTTTGTTTGGTTTTCTGTTTTTTGTTTTGTTTTTTTTTTTTGTTTGTTTGTTTGTTTTGGTTTTGGTTCAAAACTGTTGGCCTCCACCATAGCAGGAGGACAAGGTGGCTCCCAGTGTCATCTCTCCTCTGTCCATGGTTGAGATGTGTCCTGGGCTGGGCAAACCCAGGGTCCAGCCAAGACTCATGATGGTCTCGTGGGAGTGGTGGCCACCATAGCGCTCTCTTGGATGGGGTCCACAGGTAGTGGCAGTGTCCCCACCACATGGACTCTGATGGGGATGCCATCTTGAGGAACCCCACCACTGGAGTGCGTGCGTGTGTGCATGTATGTAGTGGGGGGAGAGGCGTTTGCCAGTATTGGGGTGGGACACAGGGTGGGAAGAGTGAGGCGAGTTCTCTTTTTGGTTTCTGGTTAATGTCAAAGAACGTGAAGGATCCCACGGATAGGCACTGGAATATGAATTCTTTTTTCAGGGAAACTGACAGGATGGGAAGAAAAAAAAAAAAAGACGACTTGAGCGCCCTCACCCATCCTCTCTTGCCCGAAATGTCCACCTTCCCATAGGCTGAGGAGGGGTAGATTCCAGAGCAACGGAGGGTGACAGGGTTGAGGAGGGACTTGTGAGAGCTAGAACTTGGCAAAATGGCCTAGCCCACCCTGGAAAGGGAAAATACGGGGGTGAAAAGTCATCCCCAGGCCTTCCCTTGAGCTCTCCCCTGACTGGGGGAGGGAGGAGGTTAAAGCAAGACTCCCGTGCCCAGGCAGGGAGAGCTAGGGACCAGGGGAGAGGGGTGCATGGTAGGAACACATTCTGTTGAGCACAACGCTAAAAATTCTGTACATCCTTTGGATGAAGCTACTGAATATTTGGTGTAAGGTTGTTCAGGCCCTTTCTCTTTCGCCTTCTGGAAAAGAATATTTGGCGGTGGTTCTGAGCCCCGGCTCATTGGCCCTGGACTGTGCCGTGTCTTCGCCGCCCAGGGCTAGGGGCTGGGGCTACACAGCTAGCACATTCTCTTTTTATCCTTCTCCAGCCCCCACTGGGGGAGGCAAGATTGGGGTTGGCCCCACAGCCAGGGCTGGGTGACATGAGGTCCCACCTGTTGGAGGCTTCGCCGCCCCTGGCTGGGGTTCTTATTTGGTGTCTTAGCAGTGAGGGTGAGCACACTGAGGTCTGGCTCGAGACTGGTTTTTGGTTTGTTTGATTGGGGTGGGGGTGTTTGTTTTGGTTCCGTTTGTTTCTTTTTACCTCTGGTTCCTTTGGGACAGCTGGTTTCTGTTGTGATTCTTTTTGGTTTTCACGTTTGTGGGTTGGTTTCTTCCTTTTTTTTTTTTTTTTGGTTTTTTTTTGTTGTTGTTTTGTTTTGTTTTTGGTCTTTCCTTCCTCCATTGTATCTCCGGCGCCGAGGACCCTCTGTGCCCCCCACTGACCTCCTCACCCTCTTCCCAGGTGGACCACCGAGGTGGAGGTCAGAGAGGAGAGAGGAGGGGAGGCACGCCGCGCCCTCACTCGGGTTTGGACCCTGACTCGGGCCCCCCTGGGCCTCCAGGGGTCTGTGCTGCCGCCTCGCTGCAAGTGGAGGAGGAGGATGAGGAGGACGAGGAGGAGGAGGAGGAGAGGCCAGGAGACTTGCTGGAGATGGAGGCCGCCACGGCTGCCGAGACCAGGCCCACGCCAGGCGGGGCGCTGAGCAGGGGCAGCCCGGCGTGGTTCAAGAAGAGTGGCGAAGTCACCAGGCCAGGGCTCCCAGGGGCTGCGCCGGCCGCCCCCAGCACCAGGTTCCCGCTGCCGTCAAGGCTGGTAAGGGGCAGGGTTCCACCAGAGGCCAGGGCTGGCAGGGAGAGAGAGAAGCTGGGCTGGGGGCACGCCAGGCCAGGGGAGGCCTTCACCTGCCAGTAGCTAGCCCAGAATGGCCCTCTGTCTTCCCACCTGTCCCGCTGAGCCCTGCCAGCACCCCTCACGCCTCCCCCAGAGGTGAAATGGGCATGAAGAGGCGAGCGATGCAGTGAGCCGGGTCAGGATGGCATGGCTGGAGCAGCAATGGGGGGCTCGAGGCCCGGACTGACAATGGGGGTGACATGAGGCAGCACGCACCTTGGATAGTGGCCAAAGGGTTGTTGCTCATGAGGGCCGGACTCAGCCCGGAGCCCAACCCCACCATTGTGCTTCTGCAAGAGGCAAAGCAGAGCATTAGCGGGGCGGGCACGGGCGGAGGAAGGGTGCAGCTCCCACCCGAGAAGCAGCAGCGACCCTCTTCTCCCCACAGCCTCCCCCTGCAGCTTGCCCACTTACCCCGTGCTGGGGTTAGAAAAAAGCCGATAGCCGAGTGACTGCCTTGAGGACTGGGATTTGTGCTGTTGGTGGTGGCCGGGGGTGGGGGAGTGACAGAGGGGATGGAATTGAGGGGGGGCGCGGCCCCGCCCCCGCCCCCACCCCCTCCAGCTGTCCGGCTGGGGTGGAGCGTCCCCACAGCTGAGGATAAGGTAGTAACTGCCAGAGAGAGAGAGATGGGGTCTTCAGCTTCTACTCGTCCCCCACCTAGAAGCCCCAGGGTCACCTCCACCTTCCTGGCCCCACTCATGAGGCATCTCCAGTCGGAATAGACATAGACATCCCTGACCTCCCTTCCCAGGGCCACTTCTCCGTGCCTCTGCCATGGCGATGGCAGTCCCCGGCCACCGCGTAAGAGTAGCGGCTGGCGGCCGAGCCTGCGCGCGAGCACTGGTACTCCGCACTCCGCGAGCGCTGCTGGTGCTTGGACGAGAAACCGGGCACTCAGGGGACACGGCTCTATGGCTCCCCCTAGAGGCCAGGGGCCAGTGCGGGGCAAGGCAGGCTGCAGGCAGACCAGGAATGGGCGACGGCGGGAGATCTGAGAGCCCAGGCCGGCGGGACTGCCTAGGAGAAGCTCCTGACTCGGTCACATCCCAGCCGTGCCCTTGGACCGAGAGCCTTAACCTTCCCCACCTCCCATTGCTTCGTCTGGAAAATGGGGTAACAGACCAATTTCCTAAACAGTGAGAGAAGCAAACCAGTCGGTATATTTCTAAGACACTGAGAACCTTGACAGGCATGCCCTTGGGGCTTTAGAAACCTCCCTTATTTCTTATCCTGGGAAGGGGCTATAGGACGTTTGTTTTTTCTGATTGTCTCACATCACTCTGATGGGTAGCGTTAAGCATGCTCTATCCCTGGAGGGAGGAAAGGGGGTTTTGGTACATAGTACGCATATTCTTGGATGTCTTCTGTGTATATCAGACATTCACAATTATTTTATGAAGACAGGCTTAGAGAGGTAAAGTAGCTTCATGGGTTCACACGGCTTATAAATGACAGAGGCCAGGGATAAACCCCTAGCTCATCCCCTCTTAATGATGCCATGCTTTTCTCCTAGGAAATCGAGGAATAGATTAAAGCCAGCCCATTCCGGTGGTGGAGGGGTGGGGGTGTCCCTCTCTTCGCTCTCCCTCTATCACCCCCACACTCCCAGGCTCAGCCTCGAGGCCTGTGGACACTCAGAGCCTGCGCCGCGTCCTCCCAGTCCCCCCTCACCATCTTCTGCTCTCCCTGACCTGTTGTGCTCAGACTGCTGGAAGCTTGGGACAGTGGTAAGGTCCCTGCGCCCCCTTGGGGTGTGACCTAAGGAGAGAAGAAAGGAGGTAGAGTTAGGTAACTGTCTCCCAGCAGCCCCCAGGATGCCCTCGCTGGGGGTACGGCCCTCCACTCCGCTGCCCAGAGGACAGGGAGGGGGCCTTTGGGTACGAGTGCACGTGCCCTATAGCAAAAACCTCTCTAAAAACAAAAGAAAGAAAAGAAAAGAAATTGTTCCAAGTGACCCATTGTATCAGGCCGTGTGCTTCCTGTTCTGGCTCCACTTTTCCCCCATGTGCTCCTGAGCCACCAGCAGGAAGCCACGACTCTCAGCTGGGAGAACTCCTGCCACCTGTCTGGCGCTTTCCAGTCTGGCTCAGGGCTCTGCGGTGCTACGTCCTGTTTGAGGTGACTGCTCCCGACGAGGGGCCAGCCCCATCACCTAGTGGTTAAGGAAACCAGATCCCACATGGCCTCTCATTACGAAACTTGGGGTGCGCTCTGTGCACACCTGCCACTGTTGGTGCCACGAAACTAAAACTCCTTTCCGAGAATGAACAAACGCTGCTCTTTTAAGAGCGGGGTTGGCAAACAATGCTTAGAAATTGTTCAAAGTGGGACTAGCAGTTGGCGTAATGGTGTCACTGGACTCTCATGTAATCGACCGTGGTTCAAGTCCCAGACTCGGTGGCTTAAACTCATGCCGGGCACGTGTGCGTGTGTGCCCAAGATCCTGGGAGGCGACTGGAGGAGAAGGGATGGCAGCGTGGCCATCCTCCGGGGGTGGGTGGGTGTGACTTCTCGCTTTCTGTCTTTCTCTCTGTCTTTCTGGCGAGTGCACGTGCCCTATAGCAAAAACCTCTCTAAAAACAAAAGAAAGAAAAGAAAAGAAATTGTTCCAAGTGACCCAGGCAAGGAAGAAGTGGATCTGAGGTGCATGTGGGGGATGGAACGGGGGCGTTGCGGGTGAGGATAAAATGACACAAATCTCTGTGTCAAAGTGATGGGATTCCATATTACTTGATTTTCTGGGACCATACACCAGCCTCCACCTTGGCCTCCCTGCCTCCAGTCTCACATTTCCATCAGATCCAGACGCCACACGAAAATCGGCCTGACCCTTCCTAGCTCAGAACCCCTCTTAGTGCCTCACTGCCCACGGTGCAAGTTGAAGCTTCTCATACTTGTTCTTTTTAAATTTTTACCACAGGGTATGTGCACTAACCAGAAAGAGAGAGAAGGAGACAGAGACAGAGAGAGGGAAGAAGCACCCCACAATGGTGTGCAGCCACGCCATCCCCCTTCTCCCTCTCTCCATCCTGGGATGTGGGGTGAGCACACACATGCCTCACATGTTTTCCAAACCACACGGTTGGCCATGTGGGATCCGGTTTCCTTTAACCACTAGGCAACGGGGCTGGCCCTGAGCCCCTCATTATGAACTTGGGGTGCCTGCTGTCCCCCCCCTGCTGCCCACCCTCATTCACACTAAATCACACCGGAGTTCCTCAAACTGGGCTCAGCACACTCCGGTTCCCAGGGCTTTGCACACATTGGCCCCGTCGCCTGGCGGCCCTTCTTCTCCTCCACGTGGCTGGCTGACCCTCTTGTCCTTTATGACCCAGCTCGATGGCCCCCCTTCCTCCACTCCAGTGAGGGCTGGGCCTCTCCTTGGGAGCATCACAGCCTTTCTGAGAATGGAAGTGAAGGGATGGGGTAAAGGACGTCCCCACCGTGTGTGACGGCCAGTGGGCCTGCGCGGCTGTGAACCCGAGTGCACAGCCGTGGATGTAACGAGGTCCCGGCTGGCCCCGTCTCTGTGAGGTTGTGCACCTGTATCTCTCTTCCTGGACCATGTCCCTGGACGTATGTGCCCATGCCATGTGGCCGCGTCCCTGGGGTAACTGGCTGTGTGTGTGTACCTGTGGAGTGTGTGTGCCCCCCACGGAAGACCGCAGTTCCCCGGAAAACCTATGTTCTGTGAGGCGGGCTGTCCTGGAGAGTGGCTGCCCCCCACCCCGGGCACCCCAGGTACCAGGTGGGGGCTGTAGCTGGCCGGCTTGCCGGGGCTGGGCAGCATGGGCGCCGCGCTGCAGGGGTTGATGCGCTTCTCCTTCTGGCGCCGGTTGCAGAACCAGACGCGGATCACTTCCTTCTCCATGTGCAGCTGCTCGGCGATCAGCAGGATCTCCTCTGAGGTAGGCTTCTGGTTCTGCGGGCAGAGCGCTCGTCAGCCCCTGCCCAGCCTCCGCCCTCCACCCTCAGGGCCGCCCGGACGGTGGGGCCCACCGCTAGAAAACTCTTCTCTAAGGCGAAGCGGACGTTTGTCTCGATGCTGGTCCTCTTCTTGCGTCTCCGGCCGGGCAGCCCATCGAAACCCAGGCTGGGGCTGCTCAGCTGGTTGGGACTGGGCAGGCTTGAGTCCACAGACATAGTCTCTGTGCCGGGAGACGACAGGTGTGAGAGGGCGTCTACCCGGGCCGCCATCCACTCCCCCTGCCCCAGGAGCCCCAGCCCAGTCCCACCTGCGTCATTGAGCCACTTCTCCAGGAGGGGCTTGAGTTTGCACATGTTCTTGAAGCTCAGATTGAGGGCCTCAAAGCGAGAAATGGTCGTCTGGCTGAAGTCGTTGCCGTAGAGCTTGCCCATGGCCAGGCCCACATCACCCTGCACCAGAGAGGTGGAGACGGGGCGGAGGTCAGGGCTGGGCCTTTCTGCACGGGGTCCACCCTGCCGGCCAGAGGGCCACCCCGCTGCGGTGCCCGCCGACTGCCCACAGTCCCTTTCCCTCACCGCCCAGCCTGCACAGTGGCCCCATACCTGCGTGAAGCCCAGCTTGATGCGACGTTGCTTGAAGGTGCGGGCGAACTGCTCCAGCTCCTCCAGATCACTGGGCTCCTCTGGGTGGGATGGCGGCTCCAAGCATTTGGGGGGCTGCGGGTGTGAGAGGTGCGGGTCGGGCAGCGTGGGGCGGGTCACAGCCTAGTAGGGTGGGCAGGTGAGTGGGATGCAGGATGGAGCGCCAGGATGGGCCTCAGCGGTGGCTATACAGTGCTCCCTCGCTGCACGCCAGCCGCTTCCTGCAGACTCCCTTCCACCTGCCCCAGGAGGCCCCACACGCTCACTGCCAAGGAGAAGTTGGACTCCGCTGGCCACATGGATCCTCTCACTGCCTGGGACTCTGCACTGTCCCTTCGAGCCTGCATGCACCCAGGAGCAGCAGCCAGCTTCCCTTGCCTGGGGCTCTTTCTCTGGAGCTGGGGGCAGTGGTTTTATACTCCTCTAGGCCAGAGAGTCAAGGATGGGCTCTGTCCGCAAATTGCTGGGGAGCAGACAAGCTTCTCAATCTCCCCGTTCCCAAGCTTCCTTCCCCCTCTGCAGGACGGGAGCAATCGGCGCTCTGCCCAGCCAATGGGATTGCTGGGGGACTCAGGTGTAAATGAGATGGTCTAAATCTACAGAACGCACAACACTGAGAGTGAACTTGACTGTGAAGCGTGAGCTCTAGCTAATAATGAGGTGTCTGTTCCCCTCCGGAGGAGAACGCCGATGCAGGCGGGGCTGTGCATGTGTGGTGGGAAGTGTCTGGGAAATCTCTATGTTTCTACACAATTTTGCTGGGAAGAACCGCTCTTAAAAAATTGTCTTAAAGGATCAGCAGGTAGTATAATGCTCATGTCGCTGGACTCCCATGTGGCCATCTATGGTTCGAGTCCCAGACTGGATGGCTTGAAAATCATGCTGGGCATGTGTGCGTGCATGCCCAAGATCCCAGGAGAAGAATGGAGGAGAAGGGATTGCGGTGTGGCCATAACCCCTGGGGGGGTGATTTCTCACTTTCCCCCTCACTGTGTCCATCTGTCGTTCACTCCAGTGAGCACACAGGCCCTAAGGCAAAAACCTCTAAAAAAGATTTTCTTAAAAATGAGATTGGGGGGACCAGCAGTTAACGTAATGACTATGTCGCTGGACTCCCATGTAGTCGACCGCGGTTGGAGTCCTAGACTCGGTGGCTTAAACTAACGCTGAGCATGTGTGTGTGCATGCCCAAGATCCTGAGAGGAGAATGGAGAAGTGACTGCGGTGTGGCCATCCCCCCAGGGGATAATTTCTCACTTTCTGTCTCTCTGTCTTTCTGGTGAGCATACGTGCCCTATAGGAAAAACCTCTCCAAAAAAAAAAAAAAAAAAAACAATTGGGGGACCAGCAGTGGGCGTAATGGCTATGTCGCTGGACTCCCATGTAGTCGACTGTGGTTCGAGTCCCGGACCCAGTGGCTTAAACTCACACCGGGTGCATAGGCGCGCATGCCCTCCTGAGAGGAGAATGGAGGAGAAGGGATTGCAGCATGGCCATTCCCCCTAGGGAGTGATTTCTCACTTTCTGTCTCTGTCTTTCAGGTGAGCGCATGTGCCCTATAGCAAAAAAATTCTCCAAAAAATAAAAATGAGATTGGGACCAGCATGGTGGTTACGGCACTGCACACTCCCACATGGCCAACCACGGTTTAAGTCCCGGACCTGGTGGCTTGCTTTCTCACTTTCTCTCTCTCTCTCTCTCTGGTCAAAATAAAATAAATGATGAATAAATAAAATTAAATAAAATAATTTCTAAAAAATGAGATCATGGGCTGGCAGGTGGCATGGTGGTTAAGGGTGCCAGACTCCCACGTGGCCAACCGTGGTTTGAGTCCTGGACCTGGTGGCTTGTTTTCTCACTTTCTATCTCTTTCTCTCACTCAAATTAAAATAAAGTAAATAAAATAAATAAAGTGAAATAAAATAATTCTTTTAAAAAATGAGATTGCAAATAAAGAAAAAGTATAAAAGAATCAATGGGAGGATGATTGGGAGATTTACGAAGAAGCAACAGCTCTATCTGGAATGCTTCACTGGCATGATGGTTAAGGTGCTGGATCCCACATGGCTGACCACGGTTTGAGTCCTGGACCCAGGAGCTTGAAAAACATGCCAGGCACACATGTAGGCGTGCCCTAAATCCCAAAGGGAGAATAGAGGAGAAGGGAATGCAGTGTGGCCATCCCTCCTGGGGGGTAACTTTTCACTTTCCCTCTCTTTTTCTGGCAAGTGCATGTGCCCTATGGCAAAAAAAAAAAAAAACCTTTTAAAAAACTTTTTTGAAAAAAGGATTTGTGCCAGGCTCAGCCACAGGGTCACAGGTAGTGCTACCCCCTGGAAGGCTGAAAAACACATGGGAAGTCTGGGTTCAGTACCCAGGCCAACCTGAACACACCAGCGCAGCACAGCTGTGACCCTACCTAAGCAGATACTGAGGGAGGAGGAGCGGAAGACCACTAGAGCGCCCCCTCTTCCTCTTCCTCTCTCTCTCTCTCTCTCTCTCACACACACACACACACAGAGAAAAAGATCAAATAAAATATCTGAAACAGGTGGTGAGTGCAGAGATATTTGTCATTCAGGTTCCTGGTATGTCATCCCAAATCCCGGAGCCAGACTTTGGAAAGCCTACACGGGACATATGTCATAGGGAACATGGCGAGCCCCGACCCATGAGAGTCCAGGCACTGCTCTGCAACCAGACACGTTAGTGGTTCTGCAGCACCGGTGCCACAGCAAGACAGGGGAGGCAAGCCATGCACTGCCTCATGCCTGGCCAGGGCTGCAGCCGGGTAAGTTCTGGTGCCAGCATCACAAGAACGTGACGTTCAGAGCATTTTGGGCTTCAGAACTACAGCTAAGACCTTTCTCAGTCTTTGAACTGCTCAGTTTTTCTGAAATAGTTCATATATTTTCCAAAGGGCTGCTAAAGAGAAAAAAAAATTAGACAGGAAATAAACTTAAAGGTCATGAGAGATGATGATGATGATTTAAAATAATTATTTATTTATTTAACCCTGTTTTTGTTTTGCTTTGTTTTTACCTTGACCAGAGAGAGACAGAGAGAGAGAAAAAGGGGAAGGGAGAAAGCAAGCCACCAGGTCTGAGACTCGAACCACGGTCAGCCATGGGGGAAATCCAGTGCCTTTAACCACCACGTCACCTGCCAGCCCCCGTGAAAGATTATTATTAGAGTCTAGAACCCAGACTACAAACTAAAAGAGAGGCCTTGGGTTTAGGCAAGAGGACACCACAGTGGCCCGCGGAGCTGGCACTCAGCCTAAGGGGGCTCCAGCTCCATCAGGGGCCAGGCCGCTGCCCACTGCCCACACTGCCACAAGGATGCAGATCCAGGCTTGCCAGATCGTCTGGTCTGTCAAGGGAAGCTGGAAATCTGGCACTCTCTGGGAGTTTAGTTGCCAGAGAATAAAACACATCTGTGGGCCCTTGTTTTCCGTCTCTGGTCTGGGAAATGGATGTGATTAATAGCCTTGCTCAGACAACCCTCCAGTTGCAATTCTACAAGAGACCACGGCATTCATAACCTAAAGGCTTGCCATCCTGAAACGAATTTCTCTTCCTTTCCCCATCCCTCCCCCTGTACTCCTTTCTTTCTTTCTTTTTCTTCCTTCCTTCCTTCCTTCCTTCCTTCCTTTCTTTCTTTCTTTCTTTCTTTCTTTCTTTCTTTCTTTCTTTCTTTTTTGGAAAGATTTTCGCTATAGGGCGCGTGCGCTCGCCAGACAGACAGAGAGAGACAGAGAGACAAAAGCGAGAAATCACCCCCCAGGGGGGATGGTCACACCGCAATCCCTTCTCCTCCATTCTCCTCTCGGGATCTTGGGCACGCACGCACACGCGCCCGGCGTGAGTTTTAAGCCACCGGGTCCGGGACGCGAACCGTTGTCAACTACGTGGGAGTCCAGCGACATAGCCATTACGCTAACTGCTGGTTCCAATTTTACAAGTTTGATTACTTGTGCAGTAGTTGAAAATTCATGAAAGTACTTTGTGGATGGGTATATTTTGTAAATGTGTGGATCTGACATATCTATGTACAGCTTAAACCTCCAGCTATCTATCACATTTAACTCAGTAGCCATTGTGCACACTCTTTAACTCCTTGGAATCCAGCATAATGAGAAACCGTCACAAGTTCCCTTTTTCTTTTCATATTTACTAGTATTGGATTGGAGGCATAAAATATATGTGCAAGGTATTTCTATTCACAGCAAAAGACTCATGTAATAAGTATCCATCAGGTAGAAAGACCTGGTTTTTCAGCAGG